CCAATCCACGGCTACAGCTGACGGATCGTGCTACTGACGTCACCGGGTCGGGCTAACGTTGCGTTAACGCAGTGGTTTTTTTTAACTAGATGCCGAGGCGCTCTTGGCTGCCGTAAGCGTATGCCAGGGGTGCCGCGGCAATAATCAAGAAGAGTCTGCTAAAAAATTTTAAATTATTAAAGAAGGCATGTAGTTACTTATAAGTTAACATTTAATTTGTCTTCCCAGTTTATTTCTTGTTTGATAACCGCTGTATTACCACATCGTTAGCCCGACCCGGTGACGACAGCAGCACGGCCAGTCAGCTGCCCAGGCACACTTCTAGATAAGTCATGCTGGCTGGCTTGCTATGTCCGTCATGTGGGTCAATGTACATAATCTAAATTACTCGTATGTGTCTAAATCACTAGTAATCTTGTAAAGAATATTTAAAAAACAAATGCTGGTAATATTCTATTTGAAAAAAAAAAATCCTGTCCTGTTTTGAGAAAAAAAAACCTTTATGCAGACGACTTTTTCAGTTGGCACTATTAACAGCTAGGCTGATATTCTGAGCACCTATAGATGTTTCCAGATTGTCATGAGGATGATCTATCTCGTATATCATTTTTTTTTTATCCTGGTGTAGAACATGGAAATCTTCTTCCTCTTTAAACAAATATAATATAAAATATTGTATATTTTAATAATAAAGCATAACTGAAACAGTAAATCTAAGACACAAGTCTAAGTTTCAAAGAGTAAACAAAAAAAAAATCCAGAGTATTTAGTTGTTTAAAAAATAATGACAGTTATACGAGCAATGGTAATTAGTAGTAAAAAAAGCAATAGTATACTGTGGTAAAATAAAAGGGAAAATAGCATATAAAATTGATGCTAATTAGTAATAAACAAAAGTATTTGTAATTCGCAGTAAATAAAGGTAATGCCAGTTGAAAAACCCTGCTTAGAAGGGTTGTTGGCACTTTGTATTGTGACTTATAGCTAGTCTGCCTATGTGACTTTTAGCCCAATACATCCGATTTCAGCAGATCCATAATGAGTCACCTTTTATGACAAGTTTGTTGGGAAGTAGGGCAGGGCAGTGTAGACCTTTATTTCTACTCACATACAGTTTAAGCAAACTCTTCATTAGTCGCCTTTTATAAAATTTGTGTTAGGTTATTCTTTTATTTTCTCTCTAAAAGAATTGATCCCGGAACCAACTGAGAGAAACTGTTATAATGCCCTCAAGGGTTTCTAACGATTTATATCTTATTCTTAACGCTCCCCTTTCTCCCCGTCTTGCCTCCTCATCCTCTCCCTCTATTTCGCCCGGCTTTCTAGCGTAGTTGGATAAACCGGATTGCGCGGTGAGCGGGTGACGAACTCCTTGTGGTCTCGGTTCAATCCCGGGGGTAGGCAGAAAAGCCACATTTCTCCCAGATTTACAGTATTTACAAAGAAATCAAGGCCGAAGGGTTGCGATATCCATAATACCGAGCCTAAGGGTTAACAACTCATGGCTTCTAGATACTAAAACAAACTCCCTCTACTTCCTCCCCTACTCACACGGGCAAGCCTGAATGTTGGCTAGTTGGTTTGGCCTACAATCTCCGAATCTGGCTTGCCGCCGCAGCAGACGGCAAAAAATCCGGAGAAAATATAAAGATGGCAGCAGCCGACAACGACTGGACCTAGTGACATGTCTTTTGTTTCTTGTCGCCTCTATTCTGTGCATCATGTCATCTTCATCGGCGTCCAAGGCTAAGAAATTTACACTAAAGACTGTTCTTGATGGATTACGCGGGTCAGGAGGTTCTTCTCAAAATCGTCCGGATACTGAAATAGAAGAAACATTACGTAGTGAACACTATCATGTGACCAAGGTATATAAATGATATTCATCAGCATAATCATTGTTGTTGTTGTCGCTTGCGGAATTCTTCTCCCTTTTGTACATTTTATTCTGATGAGTTTTTGGTTGAGGTAAGTGTTTCGTAAATGTATGATTTCGCCTGATGACTGTTTTCAGCAAACGTGAGCTGAAACAGCGAGTATAGATAGATCGCCGTTTTTCGGTTCCCTTCTCCAGACCGTTTTCAGGGGACCTGCCCACTTTTTAAACGACTTGTTGCTGTGACTCCAAACTACTGCCGACAGATTTAATTGTTTCATTGTCTTAATTTGAAGCTGTTGATTAAATACACAGCAAGAGTGGTCGAAGGAGAAGATGGACTGATAAATTAAACACACATTGTTTATCAAACAGAATGACAGTGATGACCAGTCAGTGAGATCCATTGAGTTATGCGCTGGACTAGCCGGACTAAACGTTTCCTTCCTGAACGCTTTACGGCAAAAGTGGAAGTAGATGATGGCTGTGTACAGAAACTGTGAACAATATCTTACCACAATCTCAAAAATTATAAACATAGTCCAGTAGATTTGTGAACTACTGACTGTAACTTAATTGAGAGGAGGCTCACCATATTCACATCTTCTTATTATAACATATAATTGTAAATCGATGAATATTGTTGTTATAATATAAATTATACATCTTACATGCTCTTCCATGGCCTGGAGATCTTGTGTTTAAATCCACTATTAGGTGGATTCTAATAACTGACTTCTGCCAGGTCAACCCAGCCTGAAATGTATACAAACAAATGTCAGCACTCCTTCGAACGGTGACCCTAGGGGGACTCGGTCTACTGTTTGTTTACGTGATTATAAGGGATACAATCCATTGTTTGTGTACATTCACATAATGATGCTCTGTAATATTTAATATTGCTTTAGGTTAGAGTTAGCTCTTTCTGTAACCCTAATCCCAACCCTAACCTCAAATAATATTAAATATGAAAGAATGTTATTGTTATGTGAACTTACACCAAGAATGGATTACATCCCCTACACTTGGTAGTTAGAGTAATGTCAAGTTACATCAGGTGCGTCCCTCTAGGGTTGTCGTTTGAAGAAGTGCCCAAATAACCTATAGAGTAAAGTAGACAGCATGATGTTTCCCACATCACCAAGAGACCTGGACAGTAAACAAGCATTTATAAAATTTGACTTTTTTGAGATGTGGTAACATTTTCAGGAAAAAAAAGTATTAACACACACACAAAAAATGTAAAGGAGGTTTTTTTACTTCAGTGCTGCATCAGGCATATGATGCGATACTCATACATATTCTCTGTTAGTGATCTTGCCATCATGCTGGCCGCCTTTACTTCCCAGAAAATTACTACTTAGTACCTATCGTAGGAACTGTCGACCTGGGGCCATTATAATTTTTTTTTTAAATTTGCCTCAGTGTGTGCCAGGAGGCAAACATCTAGCTGCTGTGTTACCACACCTCCCTGGAGATACAGAAAAAAAAGAATATCTCATGGAAACAAGAGCAAACAAATACAGAGATTCTGAATAGGCTGGGAATGAAAAAGAGTTGATGAAAGAAATAAAAAAGATACAAGTGAAATACTTTGGCCATATTAATTCTCTCATCTCGGGAACACTAAAATAATGGGTCATGACCTGGTTAAATTTCCAAAAATAATCTCTAAAAAATATTAAAAAGTTTTACACAGGTCAGAAATTTTTCTTCTTCACGTTCACCTGCTGTATATTTTGGCAAAAAATTCTGGTTGTTTGTCCACCTCGGGACTTTAGTCTTCTCTCAGAAGTTTTGGGTGCCTATCTGTTTTACAGATCTGGCTTATTTATATGCAGACTCTTGATTCCTTGCCTTTTATGCAGATGGATTCTGACTTTGAAGGATACTCTTAGTTAGTCACCTCTGAAAACAGGTTTCTTAAGAAAGCAGTAGACCTATTCTTGTTTTTCCCACAATGGAGCCCTAGCAGCCACACTAGGACCTGTCACTAATACATTCATTATAAATGAATTATCTATATTTATTTATTATTTTGTCAAAATATTTAAAGATATATGAAGGTAGTCATTAGTATACATGATCTGGATGAAGCATTAAATGTAATACATTCTCCTGGGCCTTGAAAATGTGTATCAGGTAACTCATGACGTGACCCATTGACTTTATTACTGAGGTTTACGGAAAGCTATTTGGCTCAGAGACCCCCCCCCCCCCCTCCCCCCCCCCCCCCCCCCCTTGTTGCGCCAAGCTGTTTTTAGTTAATGTATAGTTTCCTGACCTCCTAAACATGTGTGCAAAAACGGCCGCTAGCATCAACTATGTGTCTCATAAACAGATTACTATAAGACAGGTTGGAAAAGTGACATTTATTGTTAATTGGACCCAACTGGAAGTGTTGGTTTTTCTAGCTTCTTCAGGGGGAAAGGGATAAAGGATATGTATCACTGTCATAAAAAGCACACTAAAGGGAAACTTCAAAGACAAGCGAGAAAGATGCAGACAGCGTGAAGATAAACAAGAAATAAGATAAACTGCTGCCTGAGAGAGGGTACAACCAAGACAAGAGACAGAGCATGTTGGAAATATATTGCAGTCACCTCCACTGTGGTAATCTGTTAATCGCAATTCCAACTTCATAGCAAATAGATTATCCCATAGTTGCTCTGTTCTTGTGCCATTCCTGTGCCACCAAATGGCACAGACTCAGCAAAGCCTATTACATACACATATACATACACGCCCACTAAGGGAAATGAATGAGCAGCAGTCTCAGAAAGCTTAAAATCAGAATAAGAGACAGAACATGTCATAGATTATTTGCAGCCCATCTCAGATGCAGAGATCTTGATTGATTGATTTATTCATAAAATGCCTGCAAATTTATAAAAGATAGTTTTTGAGTACATGCCTTTTCCAGTGGCAACATGTGGATGTCAGTCGTAGACCATTTCACTAACACTAGAGAAGAATATCACGGCTTTGGAGCTGAAAACTTACAGAAATAAATCTTAAGACACATTAACTAGCCCTGGGAATGCTCCCAAACAAAACTAGACATGAATCCCTGTGAATTCACGAAAAATCCTTAAAGAAGAAATGTTCAACACAAGTCACTATTGAATTGTTTAAAATTTGGTTAACCAACATTTAAAATTTTTTTTTTTCAAATATATAAAGAGATATAAAAAAAAGATTAATCAATAAATATGAACAGATTAAGCGTGAAATGGAATACATTCTCCAGTATGTAAACATATTTTGGGTGACTCCTGCCACAATCTTTGTCACTGGAGCTTACAGGGATATTTGACATCACTTTGGCTGTTTAAAAGCTATTTGGTTCAAAAGAATACCCTCCTAAATTCTATTTTTAGTACATATATTCAGATCCTGACCTCCTAATTGCTATGCAGGCACAAAAACGACCAATAGCATTAGCTAAATGTTTTGTAAACCTTTCACTGTAGAAATGCCGGATAAGCGGAACTTTTGAGGAATTAGAGCCTGCTGAAAGTGCAGTGTATGCAACTTCTTGTGACAGGGTTAAATCAAGAAGAAGGCAAATTGGTCAGTATACTTTGGTTTATTTTAAAAACAGTTGCTATGGAAGACTTGGATCCTGCAAGACATGGCTGAAACTAACCAACATGAAATCAGACATTCACACACTGAGGTAACAAATGAGACGGTCACAGAGAGAGAGTTGTAAGAAATAAATAAATGACAAAGAATGGTCAGAAATAAATAAATCAAATAGAGTGTTCAGAAATCTATAGACAGTGACACAAAGGGGTAAGAAATCAGACAGTCACACAGTGTTGTAAAAGATATATTAAAAATTATGCAGTCACACAGTGGTAAAAAAAATACCAATCAAACAAAATAAGACACTGAATGGTAAGAAATAACCCACTTATTCAGTTTTCAGCTCAGACAATTAAAAACGCAAATCTTTTATACTGCAACGTTTTAACACACGAGGTAAGTAGATATCAGAAACATAAGCATCTGATATTCACCCTGACACTGAATGTAACATATGATAATGTCATCTGACATCATGGACATTTAAATGCCCTGGCACCCAGCACAGTAATGCTTGACGTCTAAGATGATGACATTCATGTGTCCTGACACCTAACATAAGATAAGTGACATCTGACGGCAGTGACATGTATTTGTCCTGACATCAGTTGTACCCCGTGCTACATGGCATCTGAGATTATGATATTCATATGTTCTGACACCTAACATACACTCTGATACACAGCATCTGACATAATGATATTTGTATTTCCTGACACTTTCTATCAGAGTTCATAGCTGATGAACTTACAACATGTCATTAGATGAGGTTTCAACATCACTGCTGTGGGGGAAAGGGGGGGGGGGAGGGGTTAGCGCAGTCGATAAGAAGCTCGCTTTCAAATCCAGCTGCGACTCGCTGCAGCCCACGGTCGGTGTTCGAAACCGGGCGGCTCCCGGGGTTCACCCAGCCTCTAAGAAATGGGTACCAGAGTTGACACTCTAGGTAAATGGAGGAACGTCGCTGTAGCTACAAAGTTACGTGCAAACGGCGACACAGGCGGTCAATTCTTATCAGCTGTCCATACTGGTGGCAGAGCACTTATGGTTTATAACTGTGTGCAATGACGCTGGTTCACATCTCCTGACTTTAACATTCCTCATCTAACATGCATGTTTACTTGCTTCAGGAACATTCTTTAGCCAACATGTGTGTCATCTTGTTGCTGTAACATTCATCAGCAAACATGTGTATTTACTTATTACTGTAACATTCCTCAGCTAACAAGTGTGCGTTGACTTGTTGTTGTTGTAACATTCCTCAGCTAATATGCATGTTTTCTTGCTCCTGTAACATTCCTCTGCTAACATGTATGTTTACTTGTTTCTGTAACATTCCTTAGATAACATATGAGCCTGGCTCGCTAGCGTAGTTAGTTAAATCTGACTTTGCGGCGACCGGGTGACAAACTCCTTGTGGTCCAGGTTCACGCCCAGGGGTAGGCAGAAAAGCCACATTTCTCCCAGATTTACGGTACCTACCATGGAATCAAGGCTGAAGGGTTGCGATATCCATAGTACCGAGCCAAAGGGTTAACAAATCCTGGTTTCTGGATACTTTAAAAAAAAAAGATAATATATATGTGTTGACTTGTTCCTGTAACATTCCTCTGCTAACATATGTGTTCACTTGTTGCTGTAACATTCCTCAGCTAACATGTGTGTTGACTTTTTTCTGTAGCATTCCTCAGCTAATATATGCGTGTTGATTTGTTGCTGTAACATTCCTCAGCTAACATGTATGTTCACTTGTTGCTGTAACATTCCTGAGCTACCATGTGTGGTGACTTGTTCCTGCAATTTCTCAGCTAATATTACGTGTGTTTTCTTATTCCTGTAACATTCCTTGGCTTATATATTTATGTGTTTCTTGTTTCTGTAACATTCCTCAGCTAACATGCATGAGTGTTAACTTGTTCTTGTAACATTCCTCAGACTGTGCGCCATGGATTTCCCTATCAACCCACAGCTCTTGCGTTTGATCCAGTTCAACATTTGCTGGCTATTGGTAATCGAACCGGTTCCTTAAGGATGTATCCTTTATGCCAGAATAAACCATTTTTGGTTTAGATTCATAGTATAATAGTTAGTTATCGAATCAACCTCATTGTATATCGACACGATTCAGTCCATAAGTGCTCAGATCCCCTCCTCAGTAAATCCCACAGGTATATCATTAAAGACGACTGATTAGAGGTTTGCTGAAATTGGGAAACTGTCGCCCTGTGTGGTCATCCATGTGTCTCTTTCTGTATCTGTGACACCTTCTATTTCGTTATATTTTTTTAAAACCATCTGTTTGTCTCTGTCTGCATCTGCAGTTTCTCACTTCTGCATGACATTTAGTGTTATTCTCTCAGTGTTATTCTTATTGTGTCATTTACTGTTTGTGTATCTGTGTCACATGTTGTCACCTAGTGTTCATATATCACTGTCACTTGCTAATTCATATATCACTGCCACTTGTTCGTATATCAAGGTGATTTAAGGTTTGCAAATCTGTTACATGCTGTTTAAAAAAAAAAAAAAAACTGGGATAAGATGCAATGGATGATGTGAGCAGCATCATACCAAGCACCTTTACCTCCTATGCCATTTCCTGGTACCCATTTTAGGCATACTTGACCTTGGAGCTCTACGGCAGTTATTAAAATCTACAGGGCCGGGTTCGAACCCAGGTCAGCAGGTAAGTGTCCAGCCACAGGGCTAATGTGATGCCCTACATGCTGTTTCTGGCTGTTTGTATGTCCCACTGTCTCTCCTGGAACAGTTGCTGTTTGATGATTTCTTTTTGGGCAGATTTCCTGGGTAATGTTATCACCTGACAGTGTTTATCTGTGGAGAGTTGTAGCTTGTCATGATTCATACATCTGTGTGGATGTGTTGATACATCTGTGTGGGTGTGTGTTTATAACTCTGTGTGTGTGTGTTTATACATCTGTGTGGGTGTGTTCATACATATGTGTGGGTGTGTTCATACATCGGTGTGTGTGTGTTCATACATCTCTGTGTGTGTGTGTGTTCATACATCTGTGTGGGTGTGGTCATACATCTGTTTGGGTGTGTTCATACATCTGTGTGTGTATGTTCATACATGTGTGGGTGTGTGTGTTCATACATCTGTGTGGGTGTGTTCATATATCTGTGTTTGTGTTCATGCATCTGTGTGTGTATATGTGTTTATAGATCTATATGGGTGTGTTCATACATGCAGCAAAGTGTGATCATCCATCTGTGTGGGTGTGTTCATGCATCAATGTGGGTGTGTTCATACATCTGTATGATTGTGTTCATTCTTCTGTGTGGGTTTATAAATCTGTCTGTGTGTGTGTGTTCATACATCTGTATGAGTGTATTTACAAAGTTGTAATTCTTCCAATACTGCTCTACACTTGTGAAACTTGGACTGTGTATCAGCTTCATGCTAAAAAGTTGAATCAGTTTCATATAAACTGTCTCAGAAAGCTGCTCAGAATTAAATGGCAAGATAAGATCCCAAATACTGTGGTTTTTGGATATGGCAAACCTGCCTAGCATCCACACGATACCAAATAATTGTCAGCTGTGTTGGGCTGGTCACCTATCCCGCATGCCAGATTATCGCCCCACAAAGAGAGTATTTTATGGCGAGCTCCAACAAGGGAAGAGGTGTCAGGGAGGTCAGAAAAAGCGCTATAAGGACATTCTTTTGGCATCAACACATTGACGTGGGAGGCTGCTGCACAAGACCGTTCTGTATGGGGTACGTCCCTCAGACATGGTGAATCGGCCTGCCAGGCAGCAGAGGTTGCACGGGCAGAGAAATTGAGGCAGACTAGAAAGAATCGTACTGCTAACCCCACACTTACTGCGGCTCCCATTTGTTGTCCGCACTGCTCAAGAACTTTCCTGGCTCATACTGGACTAATCAGCCATCTTTGTACTCATAATCATTGATCATTACTACTTTAGATGAATGTGGTCTTCATCACTCGTGAACAACATGAGTGTTTTCATACATCTGTGTGTTCATACATCTGTATGAGTGTGTTCATACATCTGTCTAGGTGTGTTCATACATCTGTATGAGTGTGTTCATACATCTGTTTGAGTGTATTCTTACATCTGTATGGGTGTGTTCATAAATCTGTGTGTGTTCATACATCTGTATGAGTGTGTTCATACATCTGTTTGAGTGTGTTCTTACATCTGTATGGGTGTGTTCATAAATCTGTGTGTGTGTTCATACATCTGTTTGAGTGTATTCTTACATCTGTATGGGTGTGTTCATAAATCTGTGTGTGTTCATACATCTGTATGAGTGTGTTCATACATCTGTTTGAGTGTATTCTTACATCTGTATGGGTGTGTTCATAATTCTGTGTGTGTTCATACATCTGTATGAGTGTGTTCATACATCTGTTTGAGTGTGCTCTTACATCTGTATGGGTGTGTTCATACATCTGTGTGTGTTCATACATCTGTATGAGTGTGTTCATACATCTGTTTGAGTGTGCTCTTACATCTGTATGGGTGTGTTCATACATCTGCGTGTGTGTGTTCATACATCTGTATGGGTGTGTTCATACATCTGTGTGTGTGTGTTCATACATCTGTGTGTGTGTGTTCATACATCTGTATGGGTGTGTTCATACATCTGTATGGGTGTGTTCATACATCTGTGTGTTCATACATCTGTATGAGTGTATGTGTTCATACATCTGTGTGGGTGTGTTCATACATCTGTCTAGGTGTGTTCATACATCTGTGTGTTCATACATCTGTATGAGTGTGTTCATACATCTGTTTGAGTGTGTTCTTACATCTGTATGGGTGTGTTCATACATCTATGTGTTCATACATCTGCATGAGTGTGTTCATACATCTGTTTGAGTGTGTTCTTACATCTGTATGGGTGTGTTCATACATCTGCGTGGGTGTGTTCATACATCTGTTTGAGTGTGTTCATACATCTGTGTGGGTGTGTTCATACATCTGTTTGAGTGTGTTCATACATCTGTCTAGGTGTGTTCATACATCTGTTTGAGTCTGTTCATACATCTGTATGAGTGTGTTCATAAATCTGTATGAGTGTGTTCATAAATCTGTATGGATGTGTTCATACATCTGTATGGGTGTGTTCATACATCTGTATGGGTGTGTTCATACATCTGTATGTGTGTGTTCATACATTTGTATGAGTGTGTTCATACATCTGTATGAGTGTGTTCATAAATCTGTATGGATGTGTTCATACATCTGTATGGGTGTGTTCATACATCTGTTTGAGTGTGTTCATAAATCTGTATGGGTGTGTTCATACATCTGTGTGGGTGTGTTCATACATCTGTATGAGTGTGTTCATACATCTGTATGGGTGTGTTCATAAATCTGTATGGATGTGTTCATACATCTGTATGGGTGTGTTCATACATCTGTATGTTCATACTTCTGTGTGGGTGTGTTCATAAATCTGTATGGATGTGTTCATACATCTGTATGGGTGTGTTCATAAATCTGTATTGATGTGTTCATACATCTGTATGGGTGTGTTCATACATCTGTTTGAGTGTGTTCATACATCTGTTTGAGTGTGTTCATACATCTGTGTGGGTGTGTTCATACATCTGTATGGGTGTGTTCATACATCTGTATGGGTGTGTTCATACATCTGTATGGGTGTGTTCATAATTCTGTGTGAGTGTTCATACATCTGTTTGAGTGTGTTCATACATCTGTATGGGTGTGTTCATACATCTGTATGGGTGTGTTCATACATCTGTATGTTCATACTTCTGTGTGGGTGTTCATATATCTGTGTGAGTGTGTTCATGCGTCTGTGTGGGTGTGTTTACATGTACAGCGGAGTGTATTTATGTGCATAGCAGTGTGTGTTCATACGTACAGCAGTGTTTGTTTACACATACAGCAGAATGTTTCGTGTGTACTACTATGTGTGTTCATACATACAACTATGTGTATTTATACCTACGACTATATGTTCATGGATACAACTGTGTTTGTCCATATCTGCAAGTATGTTTGTTTATATATACAATCATGTGTTTTCCCAGGTACAACAGTGGGTTCATGCATACAGCTGTATTGTCCATATCTACACATATGTATGTTTATTTCTACAAGTATGCGTGTTCATATATACCACTGTTTGTGTTCACATATACAACTTTGTTCACACATACAGCTTTGTCTGTACATACAGCTATGTGTGTTGACGTATACAACGATGTATGTTCATTAATACAACTATATGTGTTCACCCACACAACTGTGTTTGTTCGTACATGCGGGGACAACTATATGTGTTCAACCACACAACTGTTTGTTCTTAAATTGCGGGGACAACTATGTGTGTTCACCCACACAACTGTGTTTGTTCGTACATGCGGGGACATGTGTGTTCACCCACACAACTGTATTTGTTCCTACATGTGGGGACAACTATGTGTGTTCATACATATAACGGTGGTTACACATAGCCGTATGAGCCTGTTCAAGCACGTCTGTTAATCTGTGACTTGTACAAATGCGTGGGTTGAAACGTCTGCTAACTCAGCTAGTTGCGCTGTGTAGACAGATTTGTTGAGCATATTTTCCCTGTTGCCGCATCGATTGATTGCCTGTCCTCGTTTGTTTGGTTTGCGGCACAAGGCTTCCATCTTGCCCGTATTGATCCGCCGTGGGGGTCTTTCACATTTTCTGTTGGTTTTAAAGAGTCGGCTGCCGAAAGTGCCCACTGCGCACACAGACATTAAAAAACGTTTAGGAAGAAAACTTCAATGCTGTACCGGGAGACTGCTGGTCGGAAAGTCCTGGGGTTCGGATACCCTTCGCAGGGAGGCTAACCCAGGGTAATTCATGTTTGAAGAAAGATGTGTCGGCCAAAAAGTGTAAATATCGCAGCCATGCAGCAAACGGACAGAGAGCAATTACACCCTTGAATTAACACAGAAGACAAAGAAGAAAATCCGAATCGGAGCTGATATTTATAACTGAACTACTTCTCCCAGCTCGACCCTGCTTATTGTGGTGT